ATATCTTATAGTGTAGATGTAAAAAGGGCGCGCCCGGTCAAATGATTTTTGAATATCTGAATTACTTTTAAATTTTAAAGTAAGAAAATATTAAACGTCGTAATTTTAAAAAGTGTGTATCGGTGTACGTTTCAAATGTAGCTGAACGTATTCGGGGGATAATGTCACGGCTAACCCAGCAGAAATTAAACGAATTCGGCTATCCTCTTTAGTTGATGATAATCATTGACTTTGGCCGTCAAGTCATAATTATGTTGTCAGATAAATAAATTTCCTTGTTTGAAAAAACTTTAAAGACTTTTGGGTAAAGTAATTGAGTTTTTAAAAAGTAAACATTGTTTATTACTTTATAGATGATGTAATATTAATATTCAGTCAATTGTGTATTACAACAATTTAAATAAAATTGGTAATTATTGGGAAGACGCCCTTTAAAATCTTACTATATAAAATGAGTACTTTTTAGTGTGACAATTTTTTTTTTCGAAATTCTGAGTTCTTAAAATTAATCGAACCCAAAATATCACATTTTTTGCGATTTCCACCGGTGGTGTAATTATAGTTTTTTACATTTATTTTTCATTGATTAGGATTGGAGAAGTTGGCAACACCGCGAATTTGTAATGGCGTGACAGTTTCCAGTATGACAGGACAGATATAATTCTAAAAAGAAGCTTATATAAATGATCCTCAAAATTCCTAAATAATACATAAAAAAGAAAAAAAAGTAAAATGTATGGGGTTTCCGCAGATAAATTTGAAGATTACTATCCTTCCTAAAGTCTAAAACGTAAGTTTTGAAAAAAAAATTGGATTATTAAGAAAAGGGCGTCTTCCCAATAATTACCCAAAATCCTATGAAATTTGCTTACTTAATATAATATTTTAGAGAAGAAATTAAATCTGACTGACAAGGTTTTTCAAATTTCTCTCTGACACAAATCAAAAAAAAACTAATTTGTCAGTCAACTTTGACATTTTTTTCTTGATACTACCCTTGTTATAAAGGGTGTTATTTTACTATCTACTCATCTCTTTGGCTAATTAACAAATTTTTCATATAATATTATTAATATTATTATTATTATTATAAATAAAGCTTTTCATACAGGGTGTTTTATAACAATTTCCCAAAATTTTGTGTTAATTAAAATTTGTTCTGGAAAAATTTTATTAACACACAATTTTTATGAAAAATCTATTGTTTGCAAGTCGCTAACTAGAATATTATTTACATCTGTACAATTCTGTAACATACCTATTTACAAATAATTCATTAATTAATAATAATATTAATTATTTAGGCAATATTTCATAATTAAGTACTAATTTTTTTTTTAATCTATTCCTCATATTTGTATATCTGATTAATATGGAACACCCCACGGATTTGTCCGCTATTGACTTCTTTGAGTAAATAACTATTTACAGGCATTTCATTTACAATCACATATGGTCCAGAATATGGCAATTGTAGTTTGGCACATTTGTTATTTTTATAATCTGCAACTCTCAAAGCTTTTATCAATACCAATTCCCCTTGTTTAAATTGTACTTTTTTGTTAATTCTTTTATTTTGTTTTCTAATATATCTGTCTGCTTTCTTCTGAATTCATGAATTTACTTGAGCCATAACGTCTTCTTTGTTTTTAAATATCGATGGTTCCCATTTTCTAGTAGGATATATGCCTTTTAACAGAAATATAGGAGTTTCTTCAGTTTGGGTATTAGGAACTTCGTTTAAATAATATTCGATCTCATTCATTTGCTGATCCCAAGCAGTATGATCCTTATGGGTTAGAATGCGTAAATATTTGATAATTTCCCTTATGTAACGTTCTGCCGGATTAGAGGCAGGATGGCGAATACTAGTAAAATGGGGTACAATGTTATTGTCTTGTAAAAGTTTCTTAAATCTGTCATTCTGGAAATATGTTGCGTTGTCAAGTATGCATTTTGAAGGTGTACCTACGTCAACAAAATATTGTTTCATTAGTGATTTGAGTATTTTAGTATTTGTTCGGTTACATGGGTAGACTTTAATATACTTCGTGTAAATGTCAACAATAACTAATAGGTGTTTATTGCCATTAACACTTGTTGTCAAATATCTCTAAGACCATTTTAGAGAAATTATGTATTAAATTATTATTAATACTACATTACTATTATTATTACAAACAACTTTTACTTAAACAATGTACCGACTCTACTGAAAATCTAATCAGTTTATTGGACGCTGAAATAAAGCTTAGGTTTAAAATTTATTGTTTTTCTATTATTAGTTATGGTGGATACACACACACACACACACACACACACACACACACACACACACACACACACACACACACACACACACACACACACACACACACACACACACACACACACACACACACACACACACACACACACACACACACACACACACACACACACACACACACACACACACACACACACACACACACACACACACACACACACACACACACAC